GTCATGGTACTCTTGACATTACTCTTTTTCACATGAAATTACGCTTTTATACCCCACTGATTACTCCAAAGATTCAATTAGGGTTGGCATCTCTGCAATTGCATTTGCAAGAAAAATTTGTTCAAATCGTTCAATGTACGTCTCACTTTTATCAAATTCTTCTCATCTTCCAAATAAACCATGATGAGGACAACAAGATGAATACTTACTGCGAGAACATAGAATTTCATTTGTCCAATAGTAATATCTATGAATATGAAATAATCCGAGAACACATACTCCAGGAATTTCCAAGAATCCTTTGTAATAACACTTTACTGAATCTTGCACTTCTTCGTTTTCGTTTTCATCACTACGCCCAAGAATGGTTTTCTTGTGACATACTTTTTGTTGATATTCTTTTGTTCAATGATCACTTTCATGAACGTTTTTTTTGTGATGAAACAATTCGTTGACATTTTGTTGCACAAATGTTCACTGTTTCGTCGGTTCGCGGGAAGCTTTGACGTTGACTGGTCAAACTGTTCCATATTAAAAATATATCAACTGTACCAAAGTGCTATGTTCATTATTGCTTAAAATATATATTGTAAAAGCTGTTGTTTCTGATATGATAATAGTTTCAGGTACAATTTCTTCTGGTCATTGCATCACAATCCTGTGAAGTTATATCATCAGGTATTTTTTAAATGAATCACTGGTAGAAAATGTATATACAGCTGGTTGCTATTTCTGGCTTAGTTTGTGAGAAAATGCACACAGTATTTTTAATCCCTGCATGTAAGACAATGCGTATCAGAACAGGAAACGCAATTTAATGGTAGTTCATGAAGTCTAGTGATGTTTTGTTGCAAATTTCACAGTTTTATTGTCCAAGTTTGTTATTACCTGTTCATCCATCTGAATTTGCTGAATGGATGTGTACATAACAATGTAGTTTATTTACTGCGCATAATTCTCGAAAAATGTATGCATTATATAAAAAAGTTTTTTTTACTCCCCCCTAGAATTTGGGTAGGGAAGGTAACTCTGGTCAGTTGACAGGTGTAGTCAGCCTCGCTGACTTGGTTGATGCATGTCATCGTATCCCAAATGTGTGGATCGATGCTCATGATATCAATCACTAGATTGTCTGGTCCAGACTCGATTATTTACAGACCGCCATCATATGGCTGGAATATTGCTGAGTGCGGCGTTAAACAACAATCAAACAAACAAACAGTTGACAGGTGATTCAGCTGTTCGTAAAATTGCTTATTCATCAATATTTGAGAAAACACAAGTGTCCGTAAGTGCACTGTAAACTGAACAACCCTACATTCGCACTTGAAATTTGCAGTTGTTATGCCAACCTATTATTATATTGTCTTTTCTGGAATAAAATCCTGTTAAAATAAAAGTCTAAATCAGAAGCATATCTTTCTGTATGAGTTATTAAACAGAATATACAAAGATTATCTCTTAAATATTCTTAAAGCAATGTAAATTATGTTCTTTGTATTGCTATTCAGCAAATTCCAAATGCAAATAATAAAATAAACAGAATGAGCTCAATATATCATTACAATACGGTACATGATGAAATTCACAGATGCAGGTGCTTCAGGTGTCTGGGCACTAACCATCGAGGTAATAGTTGCAATCATAGAATCACCTGTGGAAGTTGTACCACAACTCATAGTAGATTTCTTCACTCAACAAAGAGAAGTTGTGACAATGATGTTATTAAAGCTGAAACTCTTGAAACCGAAAACAACTTGGAAGTCAGGTCTGTCTGTAGTCACAACGTCTTCCACTAAATCTAGCAAGTCAACGCTAGTATCATTGAGAAAAGTGCCAGTAGTTCTAAAGAATGGAAAGAACAGAATTATTGTTAATGTACTATTGAGTGATGCCAGCACACAGACTTATATTAATCAAGCTGCTGCCTCAGAATTAGGGTTAATTCAATGGGCAACATTGAACATTAGAGACTATGTCAGTTCAAATTGGGCTAGAGAATTTGAATGGTTCAAACAATACTACAATATCTGCCTTAGCTACTCAGATTTCTAGACAGATGCAAGTTGTTGATTGGCAGAAGTTTGTAGGCAGATGGAAACACCTGGACAGCATTGAGTTTCCAAAAGTTAAATCTCCCCATATAATAGATCTCCTTATTGGAATGGATTATCTTGAACTGTATAGATCCTATCAGGATATCCCAGGTGAGGAAGGTGAGCCAGCAGCACAGCTAACTCCCTCAGGTTGGACCTGTGTTGGTAGAATACCAGGTATAAGTGATGGTTGTCACAATTCGGGCACATATTTCATTGACAGTAGGAAAGTTGTGTTCAATATTACAGAAATTGATAGGGCAACTACAAAGGTTTGCATTGTCTTTGAATGACTGTATTCAGCGAGGTCCAAAATTACAAGGGGACCTTTTTCAGATATTGCTTAGGCTTTGAAGGTATCCATAGTATGTGACATTGCAGAAATGTATCTTCGAATAGAAATGTTGACAAAAGACAGGTCTTTCTTTCGATTTCTTTGGAGGTAAAACAATCAGAATGACATGACACAGGTTTACGTGTTCTCAAGTGCAGTCGGGGTGTTAATGCCTTTCTGTACATATCACAAGAACATGCTAGAAGATTTCAAGATATTCCACCAAAAGCTGCTGAAATTGTGTTAAAATCGACCTCTATGGATGACAAAACGACTCCCTTCCAAATGAGTTCGAAGCCATAGAGATGTGTGAGCATTGAACTGAGTTCAGGTATGTGCGCAAGAAAGTGGTTCAGCAATTCCCCTGAATTTTTACAGAAAATTCCCATAGAAAATAGGGCTACTGAGGTTGATCTTGGTAGGGATGAGTTGTCAACTGCAAAAACACTTGGTTTGACGTGGGTTGCTAAATATGACAAGTTTAGCTTCCGTAGTACTAGTACACACAATAGTTGGACACTTACAAAGAGAGGTTTTCTTAAAAATAATGGCTAGGGTATTCGATCCTTTGAAAAAATGAAAAATTTATCATGCAGGAAGTCTAGCTCAGGGGGTTAGATTGAGATGAAGAGCTTTAAACTGATTTGAAAAAGAAAGCGTTGCTTTGGCTCAATCAAGTGAAAGAGATGGAGACTGTTAGATTCCAGAGATGCTTGCAACTCAACTTCAACATTGAGGACAGGAGATTGCATGTTTTCGTTGATGCATTAGAAAGTGCATATGGGGCAGTTGTATACAAAGTGACTAACTATCAAAAAGGGACAGTGTCTAGTTGCTTGGTGGCATCAAAATGTCGAGTAGCACCTCTGAAATCAGTCAGCATCTCCTACAACCGACCAATGCCAGCCTACCGTTAGGACACCGTACTGCTACACAGACTCCTTGCTGACCGTCCAGCCACTCGGCTTACCGTATGACTTTCATCAACCAATGTCTCCCAAGCCAGCCGCATGGACTACACAGGAGTACCTAGCCAGCAGTCCAGCCGACGGTCCAGCCGATGGTCCAGCCAACCGAGAAGACAGCCACCGCACGACTACCGTTACCCATGGACCACAAGCCACACGGAGGCAGATTATACCAGAATCATGGTCACCGAAGGATGACGAACCCTTAAGGGTAGACGCGGCATGCTACGATTATCCAACCCCCAGGGGAGATTCCCAAGGCCACTCGGGGGCGGAGTCAGGGGGTGTTGAGGATCAGGCTGAAAACTCACCCCAACGAGACTACACCGAAGGTTATACCTTCGTGGAACTAATTGATGAACTCTACCATCTTATACCTATGCTTCAACCGCCCTGACAGAAAATTCGCCACCCCAGATGCCTGAATACAGGGGATGTCATGCTCCTACATCCTCTCAACACATTCATCAGACATTACCTTGGCCCAGTTACGCTGGCAAGGTCGTTAACCAGTTGACCGATAACATTCACAAGCTCAAACTTGATGAATGACTACCTTTACTACCTATGAAATGGAAGTTCTATAGGATGCACGAGGCTACACTTCTGGAATTCCCAAGTATGGATGAAGATTTCTACAAGTTGGTGCTCAATCCCGACACTTATGTCACATTATTGGCATCGCGGTTCAAGTATTTGACATCGGTCTCCAGAAGGAGTTGCACCAGAAACACTCATGACTTATTAGGACTGATCAAGTCGGACTCTTCCATAGCCTCCTAGACTTGATTGTCAGGATGCAGGAAGACTTACTCTCCTCTCAAGTCTGGACTTCTGAGGCTACAACATCAGCAACTTTTAGCCCAGATCAGATCCAGAGCCGTGTCAAACCAAACCAAGAAGTTTATTATGACACAACCTACATCAGCGACCACAACATTTAACGGGAAATTAAAACATGTCATAGATGATGTCACAGCAAAACGTTTCCAAACTTCAATTATCGACTTCCTTACCACCCCCTTCAATGTTATAGACCCTTTCTACCTGTGATGTTTGTTTTATCCTTCTTTATCCATTCAGGGAGCACAGGTAGCCCTGTCATGTAAGGTGCCGCAATTCGCTATCATTGTGGGTTCGGATACCGGTTCGCCTCGATTATGTTTCTATGTCTGTCAGCACCATATCCATGCTCGTGGGTTTCACCAAAGTGGTAAACGTTTGATAGCTGCATCGTTTGGGCTTTCCTCCCACATTAAGTTGACATGGTGTGATGTTACTGGAATGTAGGTCGAAGCTACGTTAAACCCACCTCACTCACTCACTCACTCTTTGCCCATGTATGTTCTTTCAGAACTAATCTAATATGTTCAGAAATATGCACGTGAGCTACAGAGCATTGTGGCCCTATTTTAGTGAGCTAGTTGGCTATGTCTCAGTGTAAGATGGAATGTTGATGATGAATTATTGTCAGAAAAGAAAAGTAGGTAAAAAAAAAGTTTTAATTTGACCTCATCTTTCTCATGTCTCCTGTGACTCAATCTATATATTTCTGTCACTTGACTGGATAATACAATAACAAATTATTTTAATTTATTGCAGGAATCCAAGCGAGCATATGTAAGCCCAGCCAAAGTAGAAAGACTCCACAAACTGTACTGGGATAATGGCAAGGTAGGATTCTCTCTCTCTGCCTCCCTCTATCATCCCGACGATGCAGAGAGTTTCACTCCTATTATTCATGTTCTAAGCTTTTATGTCACGGAACCATATGGACTTTGAATATTTTTGTCATCTTCCAGACGATACCCATAACTCAAGGTGGGCTACAAAGCCTATGGAATACTTATTTATTATGCCCCGGCATATAATTGCGATCAGCCAGTCTGTCCGTCCGTCCGTCCGTCCATCCGTAATCATTTCCTTTTCCGGGGCAGAACTTGAAAACCATTCAGTGTATTTGATCGAAACTTGGCAAATCTATCAGTCACATTTTTTATTTTTTATGTTTCCATATATTAGGACTTAGGTTCTATAAGGGTGGACACACTGAACTGGTGTCATTTGATATTAGGGAGATTTGGAAATGTTTATTTTATAATTTCCATTGCAGCTATTTTGACACGGGCTAAGAGAAATGTTGGGTCAGTTACCTGGTTTGGGACCATAACGTGTTAAAATGGGTGGGGCATATAGATGACTTCGTTGACTATACACTTGTTTAGTTATTGTTTCTTGTAATTTGTCATTTGTTTTCATAAAAACACCCCACAGAAACACACTTGTTTTACTTTCCATTTTATATGGATGTGACCATGGTGGATCTTTTGTGGGTAAACAATGTATGCTTCTTCAAGAACATTCATCTCTTTACTCATTACATACAGAAATGCACATTTACTTGTGGTTAATTTACAGACAGCTGACTCTTGTTCCCTTAGCTGTAGTTGTCCTTATTGATGATGCACAGCGTATTACCAGGTTGTAGGTGTGAGTGGAGTGGAAGGTGTCCTTATTGATGATGCACAGTGTATGACCAGGTTGTAGGTGTGAGTGGAGTGGAAGGTGTCCTTATTGATGATGCACAGCGTATTACCAGGTTGTAGGTGTGAGTGGAGTGGAAGGTGTCCTTATTGATGATGCACAGTGTATGACCAGCTTGTAGGTGTGAGTGGAGTGGAAGGTGTCCTAATTGATGATGCACAGCGTATTACCAGGTTGTAGGTGTGAGTGGAGTGGAAGGTGTCCTAATTGATGATGCACAGCGTATTACCAGGTTGTAGGTGTGAGTGGAGTGGAAGGTGTCCTTATTGATGATGCACAGCGTATTACCAGGTTGTAGGTGTGAGTGGAGTGGAAGGTGTCCTTATTGATGATGCACAGTGTATGACCAGCTTGTAGGTGTGAGTGGAGTGGAAGGTGTCCTAATTGATGATGCACAGCGTATTACCAGGTTGTAGGTGTGAGTGGAGTGGAAGGTGTCCTAATTGATGATGCACAGTGTATGACCAGGTTGTAGGTGTGAGTGGAGTGGAAGGTGTCCTAATTGATGATGCACAGTGTATGACCAGGTTGTAGGTGTGAGTGGAGTGGAAGGTGTCCTAATTGATGATGCACAGCGTATTACCAGGTTGTAGGTGTGAGTGGAGTGGAAGGTGTCCTAATTGATGATGCACACTGTATGACCAGGTTGTAGGTGTGAGTGGAATGGAAGGTGTCCTAATTGATGATGCACAGCGTATTACCAGGTTGTAGGTGTGAGTGGAGTGGAAGGTGTCCTAATTGATGATGCACAGTGTATGACCAGGTTGTAGGTGTGAGTGGAGTGGAAGGTGATCTAATTGATGATGCACAGTGTATGACCAGGTTGTAGGTGTGAGTGGAGTGGAAGGTGTCCTAATTGATGATGCACAGTGTATGACCAGGTTGTAGGTGTGAGTGGAGTGGAAGGTGATCTAATTGATGATGCACAGTGTATGACCAGGTTGTAGGTGTGAGTGGAGTGGAAGGTGTCCTAATTGATGATGCACAGTGTATGACCAGCTTGTAGGTGTGAGTGGAGTGGAAGGTGTCCTAATTGATGATGCACAGCGTATTACCAGGTTGTAGGTGTGAGTGGAATGGAAGGTGTCCTTATTGATGATGCACAGCGTATTACCAGGTTGTAGGTGTGAGTGGAGTGGAAGGTGTCCTTATTGATGATGCACAGTGTATTACCAGGTTGTAGGTGTGAGTGGAGTGGAAGGTGTCCTAATTGATGATGCACAGTGTATTACCAGGTTGTAGGTGTGAGTGGAGTGGAAGGTGTCCTTATTGATGATGCACAGCGTATTACCAGGTTGTAGGTGTGAGTGGAGTGGAAGGTGTCCTTATTGATGATGCACAGTGTATGACCAGCTTGTAGGTGTGAGTGGAGTGGAAGGTGTCCTAATTGATGATGCACAGCGTATTACCAGGTTGTAGGTGTGAGTGGAGTGGAAGGTGTCCTAATTGATGATGCACAGTGTATGACCAGGTTGTAGGTGTGAGTGGAGTGGAAGGTGTCCTAATTGATGATGCACAGTGTATGACCAGGTTGTAGGTGTGAGTGGAGTGGAAGGTGTCCTAATTGATGATGCACAGCGTATTACCAGGTTGTAGGTGTGAGTGGAGTGGAAGGTGTCCTTATTGATGATGCACAGTGTATGACCAGGTTGTAGGTGTGAGTGGAGTGGAAGGTGTCCTAATTGATGATGCACACTGTATGACCAGGTTGTAGGTGTGAGTGGAATGGAAGGTGTCCTAATTGATGATGCACAGCGTATTACCAGGTTGTAGGTGTGAGTGGAGTGGAAGGTGTCCTAATTGATGATGCACAGTGTATGACCAGGTTGTAGGTGTGAGTGGAGTGGAAGGTGATCTAATTGATGATGCACAGTGTATGACCAGGTTGTAGGTGTGAGTGGAGTGGAAGGTGTCCTAATTGATGATGCACAGTGTATGACCAGGTTGTAGGTGTGAGTGGAGTGGAAGGTGTCCTTATTGATGATGCACAGTGTATGACCAGGTTGTAGGTGTGAGTGGAGTGGAAGGTGATCTAATTGATGATGCACAGTGTATGACCAGGTTGTAGGTGTGAGTGGAGTGGAAGGTGTCCTAATTGATGATGCACAGTGTATGACCAGCTTGTAGGTGTGAGTGGAGTGGAAGGTGTCCTAATTGATGATGCACAGCGTATTACCAGGTTGTAGGTGTGAGTGGAGTGGAAGGTGTCCTTATTGATGATGCACAGCGTATTACCAGGTTGTAGGTGTGAGTGGAGTGGAAGGTGTCCTTATTGATGATGCACAGTGTATTACCAGGTTGTAGGTGTGAGTGGAGTGGAAGGTGTCCTAATTGATGATGCACAGTGTATTACCAGGTTGTAGGTGTGAGTGGAGTGGAAGGTGTCCTTATTGATGATGCACAGTGTATTACCAGGTTGTAGGTGTGAGTGGAGTGGAAGGTGTCCTAATTGATGATGCACAGTGTATGACCAGCTTGTAGGTGTGAGTGGAATGGAAGGTGTCCTAATTGATGATGCACAGTGTATGACCAGGTTGTAGGTGTGATTGGAATGGAAGGTGTCCTAATTGATGATGCTCAGTGTATGACCAGCTAGTAGGTGTGAGTGGAATGGAAGGTGTCCTAATTGATGATGCACAGTGTATGACCAGCTTGTAGGTGTGAGTGGAGTGGAAGGTGTCCTTATTGATGATGCACAGTGTATGACCAGCTTGTAGGTGTGAGTGGAGTGGAAGGTGTCCTAATTGATGATGCACAGCGTATTACCAGGTTGTAGGTGTGAGTGGAGTGGAAGGTGTCCTAATTGATGATGCACAGTGTATGACCAGGTTGTAGGTGTGAGTGGAGTGGAAGGTGTCCTAATTGATGATGCACAGTGTATGACCAGGTTGTAGGTGTGAGTGGAGTGGAAGGTGTCCTAATTGATGATGCACAGCGTATTACCAGGTTGTAGGTGTGAGTGGAGTGGAAGGTGTCCTAATTGATGATGCACACTGTATGACCAGGTTGTAGGTGTGAGTGGAATGGAAGGTGTCCTAATTGATGATGCACAGCGTATTACCAGGTTGTAGGTGTGAGTGGAGTGGAAGGTGTCCTAATTGATGATGCACAGTGTATGACCAGGTTGTAGGTGTGAGTGGAGTGGAAGGTGATCTAATTGATGATGCACAGTGTATGACCAGGTTGTAGGTGTGAGTGGAGTGGAAGGTGTCCTAATTGATGATGCACAGTGTATGACCAGGTTGTAGGTGTGAGTGGAGTGGAAGGTGTCCTTATTGATGATGCACAGTGTATGACCAGGTTGTAGGTGTGAGTGGAGTGGAAGGTGTCCTAATTGATGATGCACAGTGTATGACCAGCTTGTAGGTGTGATTGGAATGGAAGGTATCTGAATTGATGATGCACAGTGTATGACCAGCTTTTAAGTGTGAGTGGAATGGAAGGTGTCCTAATTGATGATGCACAGTGTATGACTAGGTTGTAGGTGTGATTGGAATGGAAGGTGTCCTAATTGATGATGCACAGTTTATCAGCTGATTGAAGGTGTGAGTGGAATGGAAGGTGTCCTCATTGATGATGCACAGTTTATCAGCTGATTGAAGGTGTGAGTGGAATGGAAGGTGTCCTAATTGATGATGCACAGTGTATGACCAGGTTGTAGGTGTGAGTGGAATGGAAGGTGTCCTAATTGATGATGCACAGTTTATCAGCTGCTTGAAGGTTTGAGTGGAATTGAAGGTGTCCTAATTGATGATCCACAGTGTATGACCAGCTTGAAGGTGTGAGTGGAATGGAAGGTGTCCTAATTGATAATGCACAGTATATCAGCTGATTTAAGGTGCATGGTTAGAAACTAACAGTTTTTGTCCACTAGTCCTCATAATGATAACATATAGCAAAACCCTTAAAATTAGCCAATTTCTACTAGTCCTTAGGATACCTTTACCATTGGGCAGTTTGGTAAGGACTACGGGACTAGTGCCAATTTCTAACGCTGAGGTGTGAGTGGAATGGAAGGTGTCCTAATTTATGATGCACAGTGTATGACCAGGTTGTAGGTGTGATTGGAATGGAAGGTGTCCTAATTGATGATGCACAGTATATCAGCTGATTGAAGGTGTGAGTGGAATGGAATGTGTCCTAATTGATGATGCACAGTTTATGAGCTGATTGAAGGTGTGAGTGGAATGGAAGGTGTCCTAATTGATGATGCACAGTTTATCAGCTGATTGAAGGTGTGAGTGGAATGGAAGGTGTCCTCATTGATGATGCACAGTGTATGACCAGGTTGTAGGTGTGATTGGAATGGAAGGTGTCCTAATTGATGATGCACAGTATATCAGCTGATTGAAGGTGTGATTGGAATGGAAGGTGTCCTAATTGATGATGCACAGTTTATGAGCTGATTGAAGGTGTGAGTGGAATGGAAGGTGTCCTAATTTATGATGCACAGTTTATCAGCTGATTGAAGGTGTGAGTTGAATGGAAGGTGATCTAATTGATGATGCACAGTGTATGACCAGCTTGTAGGTGTGATTGGAATGGAATGTGTCCTAATTGATGATGCACAGTGTATGACTAGGTTGTAGGTGTGATTGGAATGGAAGGTGTCCTAATTGATGATGCACAGTATATCAGCTGATTGAAGGTGTGAGTGGAATGGAATGTGTCCTAATTGATGATGCACTGTGTATGACCAGCTTGTAGATGTGATTGGAATAGAAGGTGATCTAATTGATGATGCACTGTGTATGACCAGGTTGTAGGTGTGATTGGAATGGAAGGTGTCCTAATTGATGATGCACTGTGTATGACCAGGATGTAGGTGTGATTGGAATGGAAGGTGTCCTAATTGATGATGCACTGTGTATCACCAGGTTGTAGGTGTGATTGGAATGGAAGGAGTCCTAATTGATGATGCACATTGTATGACCAGCTTGTAGATGTGATTGGAATGGAAGGTGTCCTAATTGATGATGCACAGTTTATGAGCTGATTGAAGGTGTGAGTGGAATGGAAGGTGTCCTAATTTATGATGCACAGTTTATCAGCTGATTGAAGGTGTGAGTGGAATGGAATGTGTCCTCATTGATGATGCACAGTGTATGACCAGCTTGTAGGTGTGATTGGAATGGAATGTGTCCTAATTGATGATGCACAGTGTATGACTAGGTTGTAGGTGTGATTGGAATGGAATGTGTCCTAATTGATGATGCACAGTGTATGACTAGGTTGTAGGTGTGATTGGAATGGAAGGAGTCCTAATTGATGATGCACAGTGTATGACTAGGTTGTAGATGTGAGTTGAATGGAAGGTGATCTAATTGATGATGCTCAGTGTATGACTAGGTTGTAGGTGTGATTGGAATGGAAGGAGTCCTAATTGATGATGCACAATGAATGACTAGGTTCTAGATGTGAGTTGAATGGAAGGTGATCTAATTGATGATGCACAGTGTATGACCAGCTTGTAGGTGTGAGTGGCAACAGCAGAGGAAATATGTCTGTTCTTGTAAGCCGTGAATAGCTTCATTTTACTCTCTTCACCTTCACAATTATTTCTGCCAACAGGTGGCTCAACCATTGCCATCACTGAAAGAAATCCGAGATACAGCCAAATCATCCCTCAATTCTATACGACAAGACCACAAGCGAGCCCTCAACCCTACTCCATACAAGGTAAGGCACCAACTATTTGTGCAGCAATATAAGACTATATTCTTTATGAGGTAATGCTGGAGGTGATTCTTGTGACCTCTAGTCTGCCAGCTAGACCATACATGGAAAGATTGCATGAGTATATACAAGGCAAGCAGACAGCTCATATTCCTGTTATTATCTGTTATTCCACTGATATGTGGGAAATAGTCTGATTTGCCAGCTGAAATAAGTCCCCTGTTGTGGTTTATATGATTATTTGGAGATATTCTTCTAACTACAAAATACCATCTTCAGTTACCATTTGTCACCACTCACCTCACTGGACAAAATATCATCCATTCCAAAAAATCCAAATCTTGGAAATACCACCATTCCAATTGGAAATATGACCATTCCAATATTTGGCTAGGTCATATTTCCAAGCTTGGATTTGTTTGGATTTGTTTGGAAATGTTTGGATACAACATGTCATAATCATATCTGTTCAGTGTTCGAAATACCTGCCTGCCCGACCGTCCGAGACGGGTTGATTTCAACTCGGGCTGCCAGATTTTCAAATCCCCCTGTCCGACGGTCGGGTTATATTTCATATGTGACAATATTCTAAATATTTCCTGATGATAATCAATAATTCACATGTAAAGATGAATGATAAAATGTAACCAAAAAGAAATCCCGTTAGCTTATCCTGAGAAACATATGATTATAGTGGGCAGGCAGGTTTTGGTCAGGGCTGGCAAGTATTTCAGCTAGCCAGTCCTGTGGTCTGGCTGAAATTTTTGGGAGTTTCATACCCTGATCTGTTAAACGTTGTACAACTTTTGACCTTATGTGAGATTAGTAATGACATGAAAGTAAATAATTAAGAGTATTTTGGCACTATGTACCACGAAAAGACCAAATTATGAGCAAATTTAACTAAAAGAATTTCTGTCATTTAAAGTGGCTACTCTTTATATTTAATTTCTTATCTTCCTTGTCTATAATCATATGACATTGACTATGAACTTTGAACAATTAAACAAATATTTTGTTTTCCCATACCGACTTACGGTTGTCGTTGAACAAAGACCGTTTCGAGAATATGGAGGGCCTCATTATTATAATTTGAACTAATATACATATGTACATAATAGTACTAGGTATAAATGAATTTTGATAAGTGTTCGTACAAGAATATGAACTTCGAATTATCTCGGAATTACGCGCAACACATAGGGCGGGAAATTTTATAATTGTTCTGGAACTATCTGACGGTAATTCAAAACAGGGAACAAGATTTCGTCAAATGAATCATTGAGCCAGGAATGCAACGAGTTAAATGCTGACAAAATGAATAAACATATCTGGAACAGAGTAGACTGTTCATGCGGACAATTATATGCTACGTCTATTGCCAATGAAGTTTATCACCCCATGTTATAGCATTTGTTTCATATAAAACATAGAAGCCAAATAAATGGGATAATTAGTTGTTATGAATTAGCTTTACCTCTGTGACATATCACGCAACTAAATGTGAATATATTTATCAAATAATCAATTACAGTAATTAACCTAGTGTCCTTATTTATACACAATTTAATTACGTATTGGGGTACAATATATAATATAATATACATATACACGGAATGATTTCTTATTTTGTCAATTTAATCATAACCCAAATCATACAAATCAAAATGTGAAAGTAGTGACTAACTTTATGATCAAGGGTATAAATACTCAATTGTATCTATTAATCCTAATAGTATAACAATAAACCCTGTGTATATACTGAGCATATTTAGATACATCCGGATCTACGACCGCAGCCATATAATCAATCAAGGAAAGTATATTAGTTTGAATTACAAATGTGCTATCACTAAAACAAAATTTTCCGTTATCCACGTAAGCCTAAACCTGGGAGAAATAAAGTTCTGTTCTGTTCGCCGTCATGATTAGTTGGCGCCAGTCTAGACTGTCCAATCAACGTGAATATACTAACCGTGATGTTACTTGACCAGTTGATGACACCTGTCAAACTCAAAGTGCCCCTGGTCCTCCACCCACCATGTGTAATACTTTAGCGTACTTGATTGTTTAATTTGCAGTTATATCACTGTTAGGCTGAGTGATGAGAGAATACATTTTGTTGTTTTTGTTAACAATCGTTTCCATTTTCAACGTGGTAACCTTATAAGTGACTAACTTTTTTATCATGATGAAATGAAACATATTAAAATAATCAGAGGGACTGACGTTCGCATTTTTCGCATAAATGTCATGCTCGCATTAATTTCATGATTTACTGAAGATAGATTTGACCATTTCTGAGCAACGATCATGTTTGGGTAAGGGAAGTAATCTTGTCTCCGTTTGCAATTAGATTCAGTTCCGAGATCGCCGCTTGACTGTTCGGTACGGCCGAAAGGCGGCATCCATGTTGTTCACGCTCTGCTGATCATGGGGCCTCATTTGTCTGTATTCTGCTTATGAGCCGGGATGCGCATGAAACACAGGTGTCAAAACGAATATATTTACCAATTATACATACGGTCAATTAGCCAGTCCAAGAGACAATACCCTGGTTCTACCACCTTTAGGTGTAATTACGTCGCATGCCCCTGGTTCACGGTTCGTCTGATCTCCCGTCATAAAACCACGATGTTTATTTACCTGGAGCCTCCGACAGCGCCGACTTCCTGTGTACATGTACGTACATGGCAATAAATGGTTTGACAGTTGTTTGACGGAATCAATCAATAATTATTGACACGGTTGATGTTATTAAAATTTGTCACTATTCACAACTCCTATTTTTATTTTTCTATTGTTCAGCTGTATTTTCGACCAGTTTTATATGTATAAAAAATCTTCTCTTGTATTTATAAACCAAACCTAAAAACATTATATAAGAACAATTGTGTTTTTAAAACATAAGTTTTCTATTAAAACAACCATGCAAGTAAGATTTCAGCCGTAATATTACTTTAGTCACTCCACAGATTACACATCTTATATGCTGCAAACGCAGCCAATGTAATGCTACTACGTCACAGCTGCCTCGGTAATTAAGGGCTGGAATGTTTTTGTGAAGGCAGTTAGAGCAGACGAATTTCCCCCCTCGCTGTATAATGACAGTCGCTAACCATATATGTGTATTTTTCATGTTTTTGGCTGGATTTGATTGTCCTTTGGTGAAAACAAATGTTCAATTGTGAAAGCAAACCCTTTTCCCCTGAACGTAAAAGCGACTGACTTTGTTTTTGTCTGAAATATCAACGTTGGAGTCGTTTATATATTCGGAAATCCATATTATGGTTAATATTTATAATATAATATGGACAATGGTAAAATTCATTATCACAGTTTAAGTGCTATTCACAAATGTATGTAAATCTACTTCGTGATGAATGAAGCATGGCAATAAATGTCTGCATCTGATTCTTCATTTGTTCTCTATTCTTTGACGAGAATGAGTTTCGTTAATGATGATTACTCTCACAGATTTTTTGATAAGAGGATAGGACTTTAACTGGAGAATAGTTATGAAAAATATATATATAAGTATAGGCGGTCTGTGCACATGTGGTGAAACTGATACCTCATTGATTTGCTAATCGGGACTTGGAAATCATAGTCTGTCATTAAATTGATTTTAAAATATATGGTTTTGACTGTAGTACGTCCTGACATCATAATATTATGTTGTAAACAACTTATCTTATCTTATGTTAAGTAAAACAATTATTGATAACTTCCTGAATTCCAATTGTTCAATGAACAGAATTATTCACAGTTCTGGCGTGAGACAACAATAAATTAGATGTTACCAAAGATTGTCCATTTTATGATCTTAGGCACATGTCGGCGCACTTACATGTGAGCTGTCTAGACGACTGTCTGTTTTGTAATTAAATGGCAGCTGCCATCCAGCCGAATACTTAATCTTGAGACCTATTAGTTGTCTCAGCACTACGCAATCAGCAATCTAAAAAACAACAAAAAATCCTCATCCTAACCGACTCCCTCAGTGGACTACAAGCCCTCAAAAATAAAAACACTAAAAACCACCCCAAACTAATAAATCAAATACTCAATAGCTCAAACAACTTAACTAGGGCAGGTAAACAAATAGAGTTCATTTGGACCCCCGCCCACGTAGGAATCTTTGGAAATGAAAAGGCAGATAAAGCAGCAAAATTATCCCCTAAACTCCCAGAAATAAGCTTAAACTTACCCAGCTCAAAATCAGAAATCAAAAGTCTCACTAAACAAAAAATCAACAAAAAATGGCAAAAAATATACCAAAACTTACATAGCCAAATCAGGAAAGTACTAAAAAAACACCTAAATAAACCAAAAATACTACACCCATCCAAAAAAATCGACAGAATAATTACTAAACTACAAACAGGCCACACCAAACTAAATAATCACCGTAAAATAGCTAATCTACACACAACAGGAAACTGCCCACATTGCAAACAACAAGAAACACCAGAACACGTACTCATTCACTGCACACACTACCAAACACACCGAACAACACTACAGATCACCCAAAATCTTAAAACCGGACCTACACTAGAATCAATCCTAAATCCACAAAATAAATTAGAAAAATTCAAAGCCTTAGGTTTTTCCTAATTAAAACAGGACTAATTAGTCGCATTTAAACCCCAAATAAAATATTAAAACCAAAACTACCTTATCTAACAACCACCCTACACACACAGCTCCCTTAGTTCGTCCCCCACCCACTCTTGGCATTCTTTCCAAATCTCAAAATTTCAAAATTACTATATAAGCAACCCCTTAAGCCCCCCCTCCACTAGCCAAACCTAAAATCCTACACCCCTCTAAAAAAATTGACAGATTAATTACAAAACTCCAAACAGGACACACGAACCTAAATAACCACCTAAAAAAACTTAAAAGACACACCACAGGCAACTGCCCCCACTGCAAACAACCCGAAACCACAGAACACGCACTCATCCACTGCACCCACTACCAAACACACAGAACCACACTACAAACCACCCTCAATCTAAATAAGGTTCCTACTCTAGATGAAATACTAAACCCTCAAAATAAACTAGAAAACTTCAAGGCCCTAAGCATATTCCTAATCAAAACAGACCTAATTAAGCGCATCTAAAAACTAATTAATCTACCAATCCAAAATCCAATAAACATACAAACACCCACCTCACCCGGCTCCCTTAGTTCCCTCCTCCACCCACCTCGGCATTTATTCCAAATTTAAAAATTCCAAAAATTCAATATAAGCAAACCCTGATAGCCCCATCTTGGGTTGCACACACCACTTTCACCCTTTTCGGAATGCACTAAATGGTCCGGCCAGGCCCGTGTACGAAATACGCTACAGTCGGAAAGCGCACGTTAAATCTTCTATATCAGTCAGTCAGCCCCCTCTCCTGGGTTGCACAAACTCACTTTTCTCCTTTTTGGAAACACATTAAATGGCCTGGCCGGGCCCGTGTGCGACATACGCACGTTAAATCTCCAATATAAGTAAGTAAGTAAGTGTCTTTACGAGTCAAGTGCGGGTCTCTCTCTCACCTTAGGGAGAATGCGACTGTAAAAGCACCTCGCTAGACAGACAAGTAGTGAATGTTTGAGATAAATTTATTATTTATTATATATAGTTTAAACTCAATAAATAATTCATAGTCTTTTTATTGTTCAAATTACTGATAAAACATATTTTAACTTGTTCCTTCTAACCATATTTCCAAACAATTCCAAACCATTCCAAGCCATTCCAAGTCATTCCAAACATTTCCTGTGTTGGAAATATGTTTGGAAATGTTGCCATTCCAATTTTGGATTTTCTGGAAAGATCGATCGTTCCAAGCTTTGGAAAGTTTGGAATGAGCGATCTTTCCAAAGCATTCCAACGTTCATTCCAAATTGGAATGGACGCTATTTGGTCTTGTGCCTGTTCCTGTGAACAAGATAGTTTTTCATGTCAGGCTCAATACAAATAGTGGATGGGGAAGCCTAGTGGTTAAAGCGTTTGCTCATCATGCCAAAGGCCTGGTTTTGATTCCCCTCATGGGTACAATGTGTGAAGCCCATTTCAGGTGTAACCAATCATGGTGTTATTGAAACATAAAATCATACTCACTCTATAAAAGAAACAGCTTTCTGACATACTTTTTATGAAATAAGTGAATGTCTGACGCTCATGTAACTGAATAGGGACAGTGATTGTATTCTTATTGGTTGTTTCAGGTTTCTGTCTCTGACAACCTGTACACGTTCATCCATGATCTGTGGCTGGAGAGTGCACCAATAGGAGAGCTCTCCTAGACATCTCCCAGCCACACCTGATTAGGACGTCTCTGTTCCAGTGGCGGGAGAGCTCATGATCACTCTGTTGTTGTCAGACACCCATGTTTTTGTCACATCTCTGAGCACTCTTGTACCTTATCTTGCTTCATTTCTTCTTTCTTTGACATGTGAATTTGTTTGTTGATACAACAGTTATTGTTGAGCTTCCAGGCAGTAGGTTGCCATCCAGTGGAACTCTAAGGTAGTAATAATTACTAGTTGTAGTTACAGTAATAATGGCCAACCTGGGGCTGTGGGTTGGCCTATTTGTGCCTACTGATGTCTTGCCCACTGTGGATCCTCATGTCTTGGCGAGATATGTGTGCATGTTGGTGAGGACTACACAGCATGGTTCCCAGAGCTCAGTATTGCTGTATTCAGAGTGCTAGACACAATATGTAGAGATGGGATAAGAATATGTTTTTAGGTTTTTGTTATATACAAATCTCATTAATTTTGAAGCTGTACAGTTTTAAAATGCAATTTTTAGAACCTTCAGTGATATATTGTTTTATGATATACAATTTTTATGATGTTATAATCTTTTTTGATGATATATATTTAATTGGATTGTATATTTACTTGTGCCAGGTCATATTTGATGTTGCTGGTCAGGGTAGAGTGCGTGTGTCATGGCAATAATTGATGCATATGTCTTTACTGGGGTAATGTTATCATACATGCACAGACTATCAGACAGAGATAAGTATTATTCAATAGGAATAATGTCCCTTGAACTTACTGGTCATAAATGTACCGTATCAACAGTGGTCTATTTATGTACAGGTTTCATGTAGTACATGTACAATGCAATACATTTTAGGGTTATTTATTTTTAGGGCATAACAACTAAGTGGTAACTACCTCCTGTCAAGAGTAGACAATCAGTTTACAGGAGATGAATATTTCTCTTTATAGCAGATAAATGGAACTCCACCTATAGCTGTTACAGTCTTAAGAAGACAGAGTCTGATACTGTGTCAGCTGCAGGGGTGATGATGATGATGTTCTGTCTGTGACACGGTGGGTTAGAATTAGACTGAAGGTATTGTCTCCTCTAAAGAACCTCAACAACTAGGACATGTCATATGCTAAGTACTAACAGTGCTCTAAATAGTAAAGTGAAATTTAGTATGAAAGAATATGTTCATATGTGATTTATTTAAGTCAATTAATTAAGTAAATTTTGTCAAGTGCATAATAAAAGCCACTGCCACTGCCATAATTTCATAATAGTGAAATTACATGACATTACACGATATTGTCGGGGCATGTCCACAAACACTTGAGACAAGAGAACAAATTGTGTGGCTGTGTCCAGTCCGTAAATAAGCAGGGGTCTGTGACCTTTGGAAAATGGACAAATTTGAGGAACGTGCTGTGGTCAAGTTTTTGACATCATGTAATGTCCACATCAAAAGAGTTTACTGTTAAGAAATCCCTTCTGTAACATACTGACCATCTACTACATACTCAACATCTATAGTATACAAAACATCTAGATTCTAATAAACATCTATATTGTATTAAACATGTATATTGTACAATGCTCCTTATGTCTATGTACTTGTACATTTATGAGCCTGTCCAGATTTGTGAATTCATTTTAATTGTTTAATATGATAGTGTCCTACAGTCATGGAAAGATGTACACCTGTAGAGTGTCTGTAGTCTGTCAGCATGGACGGTGCTGTAGACACCGGGAACTTCACACATGGCTAAGTTTGTGTACTTATCAAGTTCCAGATAATCTACAGCACTGTTCCTGTATACATGATGAAGATCAATAAATCCCTAGATATTCCATGTCCGTTGAATGTGCTTATAGACATAGGATCTACTTTTCATCAGTCAGTCATGTATTGTGTCATATAGCTGATGAGAAACAAGTAGGCTTGCTTGAAACAGTGAATCATCGCAACAACTAAGAAGATAATCATTCATACTATCTTGCCACTAGTTACATGTCAACATTTGCACGCCACAATAGAGCATAGCAAGGTGGTACACTCACCAGTGTGTGTCCAGCAGATACTGGACACTGTACAACACGCAGTGACAACAGAGCATAGCAAGGTGGTACACTCACCAGTGTGTGTCCAGCAGATACTGGACACTGTACAACACGCAGTGACAATAGAGCATAGCAAGGTGGTACACTCACCAGTGTGAGTCCAGCGGAGGAGGATGTTTACACGTATGGTTAACCCTAGCACAGTTCATGTGTTGTGCCAGCAAGTGAATAATCAACATCAAAACATGGGTGAAATAGTTTTTAATGCATAAATGTGCTTAAGACTTTGTTGTACATCTTATGAAAAAGACTTGACTCTTTTGAAATGCAAACTTTGTATGGAATCTTTTTCTCACTTATAAAGATACATGTGGAGGACCATAATTTGACCATCAGTTTGTTATGACATGGAACTGAATAATTTAGTTATTTTTTCAACTGATTTTTTTTATTTGAAAACATTAAAGAACCCGAAAGCTTTGAGAGCTGGTATTTTGGTAGGAGACATAACATTACAATGAGGTTGGGATTTAATAATGTCATTTAGATTAAGATTAGATGTAGGTTTATTTCTAAGAACTGAAAACGGAGAACATTTAAAAATATGGCAGTGGTCAAGCTGCGGTACTTATTATCAGTTACTTTCCTGCCCGACCATCTGCACTCAGTGTGGTCATTGTTGATGATGTGACGATTAGGTACCATACATTTCAGAAAGTAGATACTTTACAAAAATGTTTGTTAACATATAATAAGAATAGGACACTGAGATTATTCTGTCTGTTCACATCAACCAGACCACATTGCACACCCGCCACACACAACAAAATAACATGTAACTCACTTTGAATGAATGTCACTGGTGAGGAACACTGCCTCGGCATTAAGTTTGTTTCTTTGTTACACTGTAAGAATACTAAGGTGAAAGAATATGTGGCCAGATCTGTACTGTTAAATACATTGGACACAAAACCAGGTTGACTTCTGAGTTAACTCATCAAATGCTGACTGCCAGCACAATCCTGTTGTTCAATCAGATTTGAGTATATGTTCATTGTAATTTCTACAGTTTCAGTTGTGGTACCTGGCACATGACTACCGGGGTAGTTGTAATTAGATGTGTTGTTGCTGAAGGCGATCCAAGTTCACAGAACTAATTGTCTTGCACTTTTTTGTTATAAGATATTTTATCAGATGTGTACCTTGCCATTACAGAGAGTGAAAGCTTCAAAGGTTGATGTATACACAAAATAGTTATAAATATTTTCTGCTTTTGCAATCAAAATGAATTACCGTATTCGACGTAATAAGAGCCCTGCTCTAATAAGCACCCACAGCAATATTTGCTAATATATTGAACAATCCCAATTAGCACCCCTTCTGATTGATAAATGTACGCAAGACTATTTATTCATGCATAATATGTTTGTTATATGCAACCTTAATTATGGGCAATTAAATTCTGGAAAAATATATCTGTCGTATATGAACAATTCAGGCTGTCAGCATAAACCACGAAATTTACGATCCGTCAACTCTGTTGTTTTTCACCAAAATAATATTCTAATAAGGGCCCCCTATTTCTAATTTTGAGAGCGCCCAGGTGCTTATTATATCGAATACGGTATCTGTGTTTGATTATGATGAAATTGGTGCCAGTTAGTGTTACTACAGTATGTCAAACATAATTAGCATACACACATGCTAGTTTGCATCATGAACATGCATCTAGCCACTACTAGTATAGGTGTCAGACCTCATGGCAAAGACAAGGACCAAAATTAATTCCACTTTTACTGTAAACTGTATTCATGAAACAATATTGTATACCTTGGCCTGAGCTGTCAAGCAAACAGGCAGCAGTGTAATTAACATGTCTGTTGAAATTTTAGAGAGGTGGTAAGGATAACATGTTAACCTGATATATCAAGTACCAACAGTAACAGAAACACACTCTTACAAAACACTTGATAGTCTTGACATGGCGATGCATATGTTGCCTGTCTGACATAGTCATGAAGTGAATTCACTATTCTACCATGAATTTGGAATTTACTCGATTCTGATTGGTCAATCAGAGGCTATTAAATCACAATAAACCTCCTCTGATTGAAACAGCTGGTTTGACGTCCGCATCACGGCGGAAGCTAATATTCATAGAATAGTACTATTTTCAGTCATTGTCGGTAGGCATATTTAAATAATTATATCTAAAATTACAGGTTACAAAATGCACAGATGCGGTTACTACAATATTCAAAGGATGTGTGGCAATACATTTCGTGCAGAAAAACACGACAGAAATCAACAAAGGGAATGTATTTACATTTTGGAGACAACAGAGAGCTTGGAATTTCGGCGCTTTTCTATATATGACTGTGATGTCATATCTTTTGCATCACAATGAGCGATATGACGTCTTAATAGTGACGTGCGATGTGGAGCGAAAGCCTTGCAAAGCTTGCTTTGTTTTCTTTAGGGATGCCCACCTCATGTTAGCTTACCAAGTTGCTGTGGTTATATATGCTTTCAATGTCTTGTCATATGTTCGAGTGAAGTATTACGGTGTAAACAAACTGCTTGAGTATATACATCACCATATTTTGTTCGGCGATTCCGTCATTCAGATCGTTTACCCACTCAAAACACTGAACTTAACCCGTGCCGCTTCACTCAGTATATTTGCTAACACCAAAGAGTTCGCGTTTTATTTAGTCATGGTAGAATGGAGATAAACATACTGTGTTTTCAATGTAGAGCTAGGTTACCTGTAGATTTAACCGCGCTAAATTTAACATTTGAAACCTCACGCTGCGCGTTCGGTTCCAAATTCAATTTAGCGGGGTTAAATCTACAGGTAACCTAGCTCTACATTGAAAACACAGTATGTTTATCTCCTAAATGTTGCATCATTATAACCTGTTCAAACCTGGCAATTTCAAAATATTCACAGGTGTTTGAACTACTCATGTTGTAATTGACGGATAATAACCCATTTTGTGTTCTTGTTGTTTTGCACACATATAATGTGATTTGATCCTGATTTCTTCAGTGGTATATATTCTGTTTATTAACACAATCAACTAAAGAAATCATTGTAATCACTTTTGTTTTCTTTGAGAAAATGTTTTATTCTCAATGTTACTTGCACTTAACTCATTTTTTTAACATAACCAAAATATTTTGTTGAAAGTATGTATTTAATGTGCATTCCTGTGTACCAGATATGATGCCGCCTTAATCTAGCATTTAGCTGACAAGTACAGAGAGCAGTGTAATGTTGGCAATATTTATGTGCCTGTACTTGTAAGTATTGAAAGTTATCTGTACTCTTATATAGTTTGCCTTCATGATTAGAATTACCAGGCTGATGTGTACAACTATCAAGGTTGTCTCCATTTTGTGGTAGATTTAAAAATCTGTTGTTATACGATATAATGCAAAAAATCACTATCAACAAAAGTATCACAGTTACAGCCTCACTGGCCGCACTATAACACAGTTACAGCCTCACTGGTGGCACTATAACACAACACAGTTATAGCCTCACTGGTGGCACTATAACACAACACAGTTATAGCCTCACTGGTGGCACTATAACACAGTTACAGCCTCACTTGTGGCACTATAACACAGTTACAGCCTCACTGGTGGCACTATAACACAGTAACAGCCTCACTGGTGGCACTATAACACAGTAACAGCCTCACTGGTGGTGGCACTATGACACAGTTACAGCCTCACTGGTGGCACTCTAACACAGTAACAGCCTCACTGGTGGCACTTTAACACAGTTACAGCCTCACTGGTGGTGGCACTATGACACAGTTACAGCCTCACTGGTGGTGGCACTATGACACAGTTACAGCCTCACTGGTGGCACTTTAACACAGTAACAGCCTCACTGGTGGCACTATAACACAACACAGTTATAGCCTCACTGGTGGCACTATAACACAACACAGTTATAGCCTCACTGGTGGCACTATAACACAACACAGTTATAGCCTCACTGGTGGCACTATAACACAGTTACAGCCTCACTGGTGGCACTATAACACAGTAACAGCCTCACTGGTGGCACTATAACACAGTTACAGCCTCTCATGGCACTATGACACAGTTACAGCCTCACTGGTGGCTCTATGATACAGTTACAGCCTTACTGGTGGCACTATAACACAGTTACAGCCTCTCTGGCGGCACTATGACACAGTTACAGCCTCACCGGTGTCACTATGACACAGTTACAGCCTCACTGGTGTCACTATAACACAGTTACAGCCTCACTTGTGGCACTATGACACAGTTACAGCCTCACCGGTGTCACTATGACACAGTTACAGCCTTACTGGTGGCACTATAACACAGTTACAGCCTCACTGGTGTCACTATAACACAGTAACAGCCTCTCTGGTGGCACTATAACACAGTAACAGCATCTCTGACAACATTACAACAGTTAAAGACTCTTCGAACATTATGACAGTTACAGACTCTCTATGAACATTATGACAGTTACAGACTTTCTGCCAACATTATGACAGTTACAGACTCTCTTTGAACATTATGACAGTTACAGACTCTCTTTGAACATTATGACAGTTACAGACTTTCTGCTAACATTATGACAGTTACAGACTTTCTGCTAACATTATGACAGTTACAGACTCTCTGTGAACATTATGACAGTTAAAGACTCTCTGCCAATATTATGATAGTAACAGCTTCTCTGCCAACATTATGACAGTTACAGCCCCTCTGCGAATATTATGATAGTTACAGCCTCTCTGCCAACATTATGACAGTTACTGGCTACATATAGCATGGTCAGTATGTGTTTGACTGCTCCAAGGTTTACTGTTTACAGCAATATGTTCAGTAGTAGCAGAGGTTGAAATGTGCTCTGGATTTCTCTGTTGTGGCATTATTGACACAAATTCATACAACAACTCACTTATAAATCTACCATGAATTGGACAATCTGAATTTTATGGATATGTGCAGGGGAAGTGGCAGAAGATGTGCATTTACTAACCTTTAATCAAAATGTCACAATTCAGACGGTGATGTGAGATGTAACTTGCACACATTGAGCCACTTGTTCTTTCTTTTTGGTATTGCAGGGACAGCTTATGTACAATTGTAATTGGTGGAAATAGCAATGTGAGATTGATGTTGTATTGGCAACATATATAAACAGACACGTTTTCTATCTTATCATCCCTCAAAATGAGATGTTGAGTATATTGATATATAGTTTTTGAACTACACAAAGAATATTGATATTTAGATTATTCCATTGTCTGTGTTTTAGTTGGGAGAAGTATTGGCATGCTTGAGTATCAATTTGACTATGGGATAGTTGAGTGTGATAGTGGGCT